TGTAAGCAGTTACTATTAATATACAAAAAAATAGAGAACAAAAAAACAAAGAAACTTACAAATGTTTCAGAGATTTTAAGCTATTATTCTTTCATCCAAAGTATTAAGAAAATTGTTGCAATGTGAGAAATTTTAATTTCGCTTAAAATCTTTAAAAGATGTTATGGAAATTTCCCTTGTAAAATTGCAACACTGTAATTGAGACAAATATTAAATAATACATCTCAATTTTTAGTACGCCTTCGGAAGTGCATGTCTTAGTACCTGGTGCAGGACTGGGTCGACTTGCCTTTGAAATTGCGAGACGCGGATATACTTGTCAAGAAATGAATTTTCCTTGTTTATGTTGTTTGCATCAAACTTCGTATTAAATAAGTAAGTAATAATATATAATTATAAATATTATATATATATATATATATATATATATATATATATATATATGTATATATATATTGTATAATTTATACATATATTATATTATGCATATATTCTTATATAATAATATTGCTTGTTTCATTTGTCATAATTGCCTTTTTTAAAATAGATGTAGATGTAAACATGTATCAAGTACATCCATGGGTACATCAATATACAAACAACTTAAAACCAGAACATCAAACGCAAGCAGTTTCCTTCCCTGACGTAAGCCCAAGCGATCTTCCTGGAACCGCACAATTCTCTATGACTGCGGGTGATTTTCTAGAGGTAAATAAATATAACAATATGTGTAAATGTAACTAATAATAATAAGTAGAATTCGGATTATATGCAAATTACATATTTGTTACTTTTTGCATATTCTACAAGGGCATTAATAATGTGAACAAATTGTGTTTTTAATTAATTAACATTAATTAGTTAAAAACATGATTGGTTCATATTATTAATGTTCTTATAGAATATGCAAAAAGTAACAAATATGCAATTTGCATATAATCCAAAGTCTAATAATAAAATTATTTAATAAAATTGATACACACAATTTATTCTAGGTTTACACAGAAGACAATCATTGGGATTGTGTCGCAACATGTTTCTTCATAGACTGTGCCAATAACGTTGTGCAATTTATCGAAACAATTTATAAAATTCTGAAACCAGGCGGAATTTGGATAAATCTCGGACCGTTGCTGTATCACTTTAGCGATTTACCGAATGAAGAATCGATCGAACCGAGTTACGATTCCATTCGTGACGTTATTCTGGGATTTGGCTTTCAATTAGAGGTAAAGTTTTATTTATTTATTTTTATTCATTTTAAGAATATTCACGAAAGCAACATGTACTTTTTTTAGAAGGAAAAGACACAGATAAAAACTCGTTATGCTCAGAACATCAATAGCATGTTACAGTGCGAATACAATAGTGTGTACTTTGTATGTCGAAAACCTTATAAATCTGACAGCACAAATCGCAACGGCACTTCAACTAATGGTATGCAAGAACAAGAAACTGAATAAAGCGGATTATTTTACTTGTAAAGAAAACACTAAAAAATTATTATTTAAGTGCATCGTCTTTTCATATTACTATGAAGTAGTTTTGCGACTGCATAATACATAAGACTTATTTTTCCTTCTTTTTTTTTATTGTCAATTTCTTTTTGTCAATTTATTCAAGACTCATTTCATACCTGTTTACAATGATACTATGTTAGATTGCCTACAGTATTTCAATATTGTTAGAAAAAAGCAATAGATATTATTTTACGAAATTTATCAGTACCATAACTCTAACAGAGATATCTAATCTATACTTTTTGTTTATTGTACCATGATTGAAATCATAAGTATATACTTTGGACAAAGGTTTAAGAATATTTAAAACCAGTAATTCTCATATATATATATATTATTATATATATACGAGAAAATTGTACATTGTACGCGTGCGCGCAGGCAACGTTATTACTTGTGTGTGTATATAAAATATATATATATATATATGTATATATATATATATAAAATAATGATATATAAAAATAAGAAAATGAAACAATATATATAGTAGTTTTCTTGCTTTATTTATAAATTTTTATTGAGATATTGTACAAATAATGCAGTAATCTGATCAATTCCACTTTGCTGCATTTTACTGTAAATTAAAAACTGTCTCCGTAATCTCATTAATTGAGCAGGTGTGCCCGTGCTTTGTACAGTCACACTGGAACCTGGTATCTTTATATCGTTATTTATTCCCAGTTGTTGCGCCGATAATATTGCCTTTGTGATGAAAAAAGAAAAATACATATTTATTATTAGAGTCTACCTTCATAGTTACTTTATAAATCTTCTATTGTGATAATGAACATAAATGTTTTAAAAATAAGAAAAGAAAGCAAGAAAAATTACTATTATGCATTACATATTCAAATATATATTAATGAATTCTTTTTGCCATTGATATAACTAAATAACTATATGGAATCACTTACATCTATTACATCTTTTGTTATTGTATCTAATTCATACAGATAATTCGTAGACGCTAATGGTGGCTGAAAATATAAATGTTTACATAAATATTGGAAAAAAGAAACTTTAAGAAGATTAAGAAAAAAAAAAGATACTAACACATTGGGTACTTTGATTTGGTTTTGGTGATTTGGCTTCATAAAGCGATTTATAAATTTCATCGCACATTAATTCATCCTCTGGTGTAAGTGCAAAGAGTGGATGATCCCATCGGTTTTTACTATCTGGTGTTTCATACCTATTGATGAACAATATTTAAACATTTACCTAAAGAGAGATATTTCTACAACATTATTATTATTATTATTATTGTGTAATTACCTTACTATGAGTGAGTCAAAAATTTCTCTGTTATATCGATCCGACTCGACTCGTTTATCATTCCACAACCAAGCACATTCTACTGGTATATCACAATGTATCGTACATTGAGGAGTCTTATACAATTTCGTCATACAGTAAAGCTCGTATCGATACCCTTTAATGTAATTACTACCATCAAATATCAGTAGATCTCGTGTGTTGAGTCTCCGTTGAATGTCTGATTTGATTGCGCTTCTAACAGCTTTTTCTTTCTTAGAATCTGAAATACAATGTATGTATTATTCAGACTGAATATTTGTGAAGTTTATATCAAATTTTATTCCATTAATTCCATCTCTATTTACCTGCGTAAAATACATTTTTATCGTAGCCTGCCTTGATTATCGTATCGTATTCGCTAATTACTTCTACATTTTGTCCACTGCTCTTTAGTCTGTCCTCAAAATATTTCTGCAATTCAAGACTCCTCGTTGTTTTACCGCTGCACGGAACACCAGTAATTATTATCAGCGGCATTTTGGTATAACAACAATTAAATATATCTGATCCAAATAAAAGGAGGTTCAGTCTTTTACATTCTCTAACTTTCTGCAAGAAGATAAATAAAATTGTATAAAATGTATAAATTTCAAGTGAAGAAAATGTATTATAATCGACTAACCTTTAATAATTATTGTTTTTTAAATAATTATAATTTTGTTTACAAAGGGTCTCTAAATTGAAACCCCATGGTTGGCCATCTTCAATAATAATTTTATCCGTGGCTTAAAAAGTTCTACCTGAGCGCCGTCTATAGATTAAACGTGCACTTGATTCGCGAATATGTAGAATGAAAACAAAAGTGTCAAACCATTTTCAAATATTTATGTATATATATATTCATCGTCAAAAAAATCGGAAATAGTACAATTTACACGTAAAAATGGCTGAGAATGAATTTGTATCCGATGGTGACGAATGTCTTGTTACAGAAGCTATCAATTTAGATATTGAAGAGGTACTTGTGTGTGTGTGTGTGTGTGTGTGTGTGTGCATATATATTTTCCACAACAGCGGTTATCTAAGCAATAAATTTGATACGGTTGTGCAAGACACCTTGCACTGTACATTTCAATTATAATCTTATCGGAATATAAATTTAACTATGTTTGTCATTTGCATATTCTTACTTTCATGCCATTATGGCCAATATCTATCGCAATTGCATTCGTTTTTCCCCCTTTAAATTATTATAATTAAATACATTTTATTCCGATATTATTCTAGCTTCTGATAATGATATTTATACCGGTTTTTTTTCAGTTAGATAATATGGAATATGCTATACCAATCGTGGAAGAATTACCCACCTTAGAAAGTATACTGATGGAACCTGATTATGAATCGCCATCAGAAACTGATGAAGATGTTGGTTTACAATTAGGAGAGAAACTTGGTAGCAGTGAGACAACGAGTATTGGCAGTCACTTATCATTAAATTCATTAAACAAATCTTCTAAAATCTCTCAGAAAGCATTCTCCGGTGTCATATTAAGGCATGTCATACTCAAAGGAATAACATCGCAAATTGTATCGGCCAGTGTAAGCAATTCTTTTTATTCTTTTTTTTTATTTGAGATTGCAAGTCTTGTAGTTTCTCAAATTAAAAATGTTTGAATTTCTGTTGTATATGCAATAATTGAATATCTTGCATGAAACATTTTTTATTATTCAGGAGAGAGTCAATGCTGGTTTAGCTAGCGCAGTTGCAGCTGGAGGAAACATGTTGGTGATTGGTACCAGCCATGGTCTAATATTGGGCTTTGACTCTTCGCAAACATTACGATGGTGCGACCAAGAAGCTAGACATCAAGGTTCTGTTTCCGCTCTCTGCTTCAATTATGAGGGCAGCAGAGTGTTAGCTGGTTTTGTCAGAGGACACATTTTGATGTTAGATAGTAGTAATGGAAAAGTTTTAAGAATTCTCACTGATGTACATCCGCTTGACACTGCTGTGTTACATGTTAAGGTATATTTTGTAACATTTATCCAAACATATATATTACATCATATCTTAAATCTACCTGTTTAATCGACGGTTTCAAAACACCCGTTTTAGTTTACAGATTCACCAAAAATAGCTCTATGTAGCGATAGCGGTGGCTCAGTGTTTGAATTGAATTTCACCAGAGTGATGGGTGTAAGAGGTTGCGACAGTAGATGCTTGTTTAGCGGCTCTAAAGGAGAAGTGTGCACTCTGGAGCCCTTGTTATTAAATCACTTGCCATCGCATCCGTTGAAAAATTACACACTAGTAGCAATGGCGACATTATCAAAGGTTGCAACAGATTTAAAAGTACATATCAATTATAAATACATGTATATATATATTTATCTTATTTCGTAGGTAATTGTAGTTTGCATAAGACCGCGAATGCGCGTTGTATTGAGTCATCCGTTAACTGGTGCCTCAACAGCACCGCCACAATTATCTTGGCAACTAGTCGTCATACAGACAGCTGATGGCTCTCGTGTGATCGACCCAGTATTGGCACTTGCAAGAGACAATGTGGTTCATTTTTATCAAGTAATTGCCATATCTAACAACTATATTATTTAATTGTTTTTACTATAAATCATCACATTAAAGAATATTATCTATCAAGGTGTACACCGAAATTGGGTCACGAGTAAAGTTATCTCCTCTTCGGAGAATGACGCTACCATATATGATAAGCAATTTGAAGTGGTTGAATCCAAGATCTCTCATAGTATTGGACAGCCAAGAAAAGTTGCATTTGTTGGATGTAAGAGCGCAGGATAATTTGGAGACGTTAGATATGAGTCGTGTTGGTATATCTTATGCCTCTAGTCATTTTAAAGGATTGTCTACCGGAGGAAATGTTTCCAAAGTATGTATACGAATAATAAGAGGATAAAGAAAAATATATAGCTTTTTTCCATGTTAAATATTATATGTACAAAATGTCTTTTTTATATAGGCAATGGCATTAGCAGGCGAACGAGCGTGTTACAATACCGTTATAGTCTTTGGTACACAGTTACTATTATTAGGTACAAAGAGTTTACATGTAATTTGTATAAGAACGTGGACAGAAAGATTGCAACACTTGATTATGCAGGTCAGTTTAAAGTGATAGAAAGCATTTTCTCAATTTTGAATAAATCATTTTGTCGCATTTCAGAAACGTTTCCCCGAAGCTTTAGCGTTGGGTCTCTCCTTTTATCAAGACAAAGGTAAGGCGGTCATTGGCCTTCGTGGTTCCAAGCAACGTCGAAAGCAAATTGCTCGTGACAAGGTTTGCGAAGTGTTGATTCAATATATGGACGAATTGAATCAGTGTTTGATGGAGGAGAACGTGGACTATGACACGATAGTACTCACTTGCGTCGATTATTGCATTCAATTGGAGAATTTAGATTTGCTGTTTGGAAAGTTATGGGATATAGTCTTTGAGTCGGAAGGGCTGAAAACGAGTTACTTACACGCTCTCGAAGCTCCTCTACTCGATGGAAGTCTTCAACCAAAATTACCACCATTGCTCGCCCAACAACTGGTGACTCTTTACGATCAAGAGGACAAAGTAGATTCGTTAGAGGCGATCATAGTTTTACTCAATGTGGATTGTTTAGATATTCATCAAGTAAGTTCAACACATTTATAAGTGTATTTGTGAAACATTTCGAAAGCAATTTTTGTAACATGTGAAAAATGATATATGATTAAAACAAAATATTTTTGTTTAGGTAACGACAATCTGTCGTCGACGAGGACTTTGGGAAGCACTAATCTATCTTCAGACAACAGCGCTGGGCGATTTTACAGCGCCCATTCATCAGTTAGTGCCGGTGCTTCAAAATTTATTGCGTGATCCGACAGCAACCCTTTCTCGAGACTGTATAAAACTCGGCAATGCCATTCTGGTTTATACCAGTTGTTGCCTCGCTGGCCGTGGATTTCCCAAGGATGAGCTTCCGGAAGGCATACCGCAGAAGGCGAAAGCAGACATATTAAGAGCCCTACTTTCTCAACACTCAAGTTTGGCGAACGATACAGAGAGGCAGTATCCATATTTGAGAACGTTACTGCAATTCGATGCGAAAGGCTTTTTGGATGTTATAGCCATCGCCTTTCAAGAGCCAGAATTCACCTCCGAGATGGGCCTTAGACATCGACAAAGACTCATAGACATCTTATTGAGCATTGTTATGCCAAACACACCCGTTTCTCCAAAAAGTATCGATTATATCACGACGGAGCAACAATTTATGGTTCTTATGTTTGTGGCGAATGAAGTGTCGGAAAGTACTGTTATATTAGAGTCTAGTACATTAAAGAAAATGATAGATATATTGTGCATTGATTCGAATATAGAACTGTCGAAAGACTTTAAGACTGAGAGAGAAAACGCTGTGTTGGGGTTATTACATTCCAAAAAGCTGTGCAACATATCTGACAACACTTTACTAAATTTAGCAAATAGAGCGAATTTGTAAGTACCTATCGTCATTTTAATGAGCGACGATTATAATGATCTATAATTTTTTCAATGTTTTTTATTTTTAATGTTCGATTATTTACAGCATACGAGTCGCAGAGTTACTGTACAGTGCACGAGAAGATTGGATAGCAGTATGCAAATGTATGATCTTGGACTCGTCTAGGCATCACGATATCTGGCCCTGGCTCGAGAATTTGCCGGCCGCTTCACTGGACCAAGTTATATCGAATCACGTTTCGACCCTCGTGACGATTAATATCGCCCAATTCGCCACGATCATCGCGACGCGACTGCAGAACAAAATCAACGTGATATTGCAGAGTCTTGACAATTTAAACTTACAGTATAAGTTGCTAGGAGCGTTGTATCAAATCGCGCAATATAAGGAGGAAGATGTCTCTTTAGAATTAACGACTGAACAATTGGAGAGATACTTGGCGTTGATGTGTGAGTTGGAACCAAAATACGTTGTTGCTCATCTCCACGGACCGCACGGCTGTAGATTGGAGGAGGCGTTAAAGACTGTACAAAGATGGAATTGCAAGGACGCGGAAGCAGTGATGTTAGAAAAACTGGGCAATTATCAGGAAGCGTTTAATCTTTTGCTGAAGGATTTTGATCATCAACTGGAGAGGTATCGCCAGGACGAAGCTTCGGAAAGCGAGACGATGCACGCCGCCGCACAGCTCGCTGGAATATGTCGAAGATCAGCGGGCAATCTGGACTGGATGCCCCTCGTAGAAGCTGCGTTCCGTTCGCATTCGGATAATAATAAGCAAAAGATGGACAAATTGAGCGGTAAATTATTGAGATTAATTCTAGAATCTCTGAGCGGTACGTCGATACTATCGAACATCCTGGAGCAAATCTTGAGGAACCCATTAGCGACGAGCGGAACGATGGGCGATATACGACAATTGCTATCCGGAGTCCTCACTCAGTCGCGATATGAACAAACCCTGGTCGAAACTACCGCGCGATTAGTGAGTTTGGAACTTCACAAGGCTTTGGAAAAATCCTTGAGGTAACCGATAATTTATTAAATTATTTGTCTATTATGTAACTTCGAGCCTATTACATTTTTTGTTCAACGGATCATAAGCTACATTATATGAGAAAACCAGCAAATCTTGCCAAGATTTAATTTTATATGATTTGGGGTTTTTGAACCTATATAAAATCCTAGATGAAATTGAATCTCGGTAAAATCAGCTGATTTTTTCACATAACTTATGATGCTAAATAGATTGGTTATTGATTTACAACCTGTAACTCAGTAACTTTGAATATTTAGCTGAAAATAATATGAAAAAATCAGCCAACTATGTATTTGGTGCTTTTTCTAAATTTTCCCTAGTTATCACACACCTATATCAGTTATACTATATATAATAATTAATAATTTTTTTGCTGTTCAGGGATGCCGGTAGAGCATGTGGCACTGTTTCCGTGACTTGCCCTGTATGTAGACAGCTGTTGTCACAGTGTTCTGATCACGCAGTGGTGTTCAGCTGTGGTCATGGATATCATTCAACGTGTCTGGGCGAACCTAAATCATGTTACAAATGCTTGAACATAAAAGGATGGGCACCAGTCGCCACCAATCTCGCCATTCCGCAGCCTCCGCCTCCGGTTAGTAATAATAAAGGAACACGATCTTTTTGACATCCTACATTGCACACATTGGATGCATTTAATGCTATTTCTGCTTTTTTTACAGAGAAAAAAACAGCTTCTTCCGCCGGAATTCCTACGTCATAGAGATCTTACGCTAAGACTAGCACCGTCCTGTCCTATTCCCGATCTCGAGGGCATCTTTTAATCTAGTCTTCGATTATGTATTATTGAGAGAACGACGAGATCGCATTTGTGAGCGGTATGTAGTATCTTTAAGATACCACAGAAAAAATATATATGAATGTGTATACTATATACGCATTACACATACATTGGATCTGGGCACTATGATGATAATTCAGTCTGCGATATATTGTATAGTATCAATAAGAGAGATTATTAAGATATTCATTTCTTGAGAATTCATTTGTTTGACGCGCGCTAATGTTTATACACACGACACGTGGTTATGCCAAATATACAAATTATTATTGAAGTATAAAGTATTTATTACAGTTGCATTTTTTAAAATATAATATCGTATTAAGTCTATAACACGCTATAACACTATTAATATATACTTTGAGTCATGCAGCTTCCACTACTGGAATGTCTGATTTGCGTTTGGTTTTAATAATGAAAACTGGTTTTTTAGGCGCGTTATCCATTAGCACGTGATTAGGGTCCATAGGTTCGTTATCCAATAATTCACCGGTAAGAAGTTTCGTGACAATAGGAAAAACATTCAACAGTTTCGAACACTCAGACTTGTCGATGGGCGATATTTCGACGTTAGAGATGTACGAGTCTATAGAGGATTCTAATTTAACGAGGAACGGAATCAGCTTTGATATAGCTAAGTAATTTTGTAACTGCAAATTAAACAAAAAATGTATTATATAATTTTGTTTAGGAGGGAATTTTTTACATAGGCGCGTAATATTTATATATATTCGCAAGTTTCTTTTCTTATAAAATATACAAAAATGTGTTAAGTATTAAAAGCATTTGTTATAGATACGTGCCTTATCGTCGCATCTCTCTAGATTGTTCGACAAATCTTCAATTTCGTCAAGCAAGGCGTAACATCTCGCAAGATGTTCACGATCGTATTCGTTTTCGTAAATGTGCAATGATTCTTTTGTTAAGGACTTCTCTTTCTTTATCCTTTCAAAAAGCAAGGACAACGGTACCCCCGGTAGAGTGCGACTAGCCATCCGAATTTGGAAATATTTTTCACAAATCTGTATAATATTAATATATTAACTCTGTAAATACTCTCTTTCTCTATTTATATTACAAATGTAAATCATAGAGCATTACCTTCTTATTAACGGAATACCATAAACTGGTCATACTATTTGCAAATTTTTTAAGATCATTATTCGCAGTGTAATTTTCAGATAAATATAATAATGACTGGAGTTTATCTGTCACATTGCATGATAGTTTACTGAACAATTCAACCTTATCGCGAAATTTAAGGTCGATGTTCAAATTGAGATTTTCCGTCTTCAAAATACTCACCTATGATGAAAAAATGTTGTATCATTTTTGTCCGATAATCAATATAACAATTCAAATAATTAAAACTGAAACATATACATATAGATATGTATATATTCCGTATATAAACTTACATTTTTTTCGAGAATACGCACAAGTTCGCTAATCGAGACGACGTTGGTTGCCATAGTAATATTTATAAAAAAAATTATTTATGATATACATTTCTTTTGTCAAAGTCAAACTTCTTTTGTTAAACAAATGTATTTCCATAGCCACTCAACTCAACATCATGAAACTCTTCCTTGTTTCAAGGGGCAAACATGTTCAGTTGTTTTTTTCTTTATTTTTTTGTTACTAGCTTATATATAATATAAACGACGTTTTCTGTTTATACATGTACGTACATACATACATAAATCTGGCGTTGGTTTGTTTGTGTAGACTTGTAGATGTAGACCACTTCTCATATACAACGTCGCGCATTAATTTCATTGATATACATTTTTTGTATGTTTGGCTAATGTCTTTTGTTCGGATAGTGATGTAATGAGGTATCATAGGAATTTGAGATAATTGGAAATTGACTCCTTCGTATGTCGCTTAAAAAATTAACTTATGACTTTATAATTTTTACTGTTAATAGTATAATTTCTTAATATTACAAGCGCTCTTGCGCTTATCATAAGTAATGTACATATTGTTACATACTCAATATTATTAATTGTCATAACACTAAATATTATTTATTTAATTATACACAGCTTATCTTAATAATCGCAGTAAAAACACTGAAAAACATGTTTAAACTTGCACTTGCTGACAAATATATGTGCTAATTAATTATAATTTATATAGTAAAAGAAACAGCGCGATATATTGCCATCAGAAATGCTGATTGCTATCTGCTTATCATTTCGCTTCAAAGCGCCACTATAATGAAATCAATCATCATAGTTTCATAGAATGATTATCTCCTTTAATATTGTTCCTAACAAGAGGGGTAGGGGGAAGGGGGGGGAGTACCTTTATCAAAAAGATAGGATAGGACGGATTATTACATATATAATTAAAAAAAAATTAGTTATGCTAAATATTATTATGCTAGATATTTTGAATATTTCCAAAAAGAATTAAAAGAAATTGCTTCTTTAATTTAAATTTCACATATGAAATTTAAAATGACTTTATTGTAATTTTTTTGGCGTTGCAACAAAGTTTTATCAGCATGTTTTTGCTGATAAAACTTTTACGTTATTTCGTCATGAGAAATATAATAGAAAAGAATAAAAATAAATTTATATGATGTGTAATCTTAGATGAAGAATAGAATCCAACAAAAAATTGTTAATTAAATTAAATATATATAAATGCATTTACATATGTATTTATATATGTAATACATGCATATACATATATATGTACACGCACACTTTGTGTGTGTGCATTCCTTGAAATTTTGTCAACTTAAATTCACTTAATTTAGATAACAATTGTTGCTATTCAGTTCTTATATCATTTATCTTCGTTCTAAAAAATAATTTTGCATGATCCTAATAAGCTATATTAAATAATATACAATCAAGTTCAATTTACATTTAATTTATATTTATCAGCATTAATGTGTTTTCGCTCTTCAAAGGTTTCATGTTGAATTTATAATGATGAGTATACACCCCAAAATTACAATTAGTTATTTGATTCATTAAGGTTCGAAAAAATTAGTTTTCTATAATATTTCACGGTGAACACAAATTGGTACAGTTGGCGATACTCATCCCCCATCGCTTCTTATAATAGAAGCGTGTACCAAACTTATGCAGCAAAGGTAAAAAATGCCACGAGTCTATCAGGAACATGTATTGTTTCTCAAAACGTGAATATGAGTCATTATCTTCAATATGTTCAATATATATCAAATGAACTAAAACACGATAGTTGACTGTCTGTTGAAACTCTGTTGAAACTCTCAATGCAACAGTTTATTTCCAATCATGCTGACAATATCTATTTAGCAAGTGAAAACTGACGTGCGCATTACACAGTCTATACACCAGTTCTCTGAATTGTCCACATAACTCCTAAAATCATTTACCATTTTATCTATACTCATTAATGGTCGCGGCACAAGCTGTCTATAGATATCTATGAGAGGAATATCTATAATGTGGTGGTCTTCCATAATTATTTCCGTGTCGCGGCCGCACGTAGGAAGTGTTATAATAATGTCTTCGATGATAACTATTAACTGATCGATTCCAGGTTTTGTTTTGGTATTCTTGGAATGAGTTATAGTTAGGTCTGTCATTGTACGATCGACGGCTCGAATGATCCTTGACTTTCTTTACGCGACCCCTATCCATTTCTTCATCGTCCGGATTAAAGTGACGCTTACGTTCCTCCCGTCTGTCATTATCGACGTCGCGTTCAAGTTGTGTTCTATTGCCATTCCAGTTCGTTACTAAAAATTCACAAATTTATAATAAGTCGATCTTTTAATATACAATTTAAATTTTATTATTTTACAATTCAACTTTGTTACACGCTTACCGGAAGTACTGCCATATCCACGATGCGACATTTTCAATAAATAAGAAACTGTGTCCGAGCGATTGGTACCGTTAAAATCTCGCACAGCCGCGGCACTCGGTGTTGAATTACTTTGATTTAACTTGTCTTCCCTGGAAAATAGATGTATTAGAATTTTCTCTAAATATTCCAATAATTCTTTTATTGTATTACATAGTCGTGTAATTAGATTTACCTATTGTCAGTGACCGTCCATCCATTGGACGATCCGGTGTATGTGGGAGATATACCCTTGGAATTTTGCCAGCTTTTAATGTTACTGCTCGTAGCTTTCGTAGGTACATTTTCCTCCTGTCCATTTTTAGTTCTGGCGGCAGACTGGCGCCAGGTATCCTTGTCACGTTGTTCCGACTGACTGTTCGTTTCCATTCTTCCATTCTGATGTTTCAATAAACTTATTCGACCGTTACTGCTATTAGATCCATTCTGCGTCTTTGTGCTTTGTACAATCGTAGTTTGCGGCGTCATTATCGATATACCATTACTTTTAGAATTGGTGGTCTTCTGTGCTTCTTTAGAGTTCGAGCTGGTTTTTGATCCGTCTTTTGTAGTGACACATTTTGGCACACCATTTGTGATATTATTTCGGGATACGCTATTATTTGAGGTTTGATTTTTCAGAGTTCCCGTCCCAGTGGAAGGACAACTGTCCTCCTCTTCGCTGGAAGTAGGATCTACGTCATAGGGCACTAAACTGTTACCATTTAAAACCTTTCCATTCTTAATATGCATTACTAATCTTGGTTGCGACTTGTCCTGCATTTTCTGCGGCGATTGTATGCTAACGGTGTCGTTGGATTTTTGTAAAGGAAGATTTAATTCTACGCCATTTCTCTGCGGCGGCAATTGCGGACCGATTAACGTCCGTGATTTACTCGCTTCGTCGTGATTATTCGACGATTCGCTCCCGTTCGCGGAACATCCGGCAGACGTTGATGCTTTTAACGCGTAAGATTTATTTACTATAGAATTAGTTAGCGGCGCAGTCGACACGATACTCTTTGCGGATGTCGCATCGTTCATCTTCGATAGCGAATTCTGATTGTTACTTTCCATCTCGAAGATCATAATGTACGCGTTTGTACTTAACACATTATTAAGGCTTAATGGACGAACGGAGCAGTCGTCGAAGGAATAATATTGACCGCTCGATACTTGCGCGATTGCCGTATAATGGCCGCAATTTACAGAGGGACCCATATGGGTTACCATCGACATGAGTTTGTAGGTAAGCTGTCTGGGGGATTCTCCCGGTTCCCTCCACAAGTACGGGCCCATGTCTATAGTTTGTTTAAAACCGATGTGTCTAGATATCTTTCCCCCTAAAACGCTAAATCGCTTCAACTGTACACACAACACTTTCGGCGGGCGCTCCAATGTAAATTGTTTCGTGGCAGGAACTCTTCTCTTACAGGCTTCGCATTTATAATCATTATTATCCAATTGTTCTCTACTGAAGTAACTATTTAACGCTTCGTCCAACGTATTCGCCTTACGTATATCCACGAGCAAATCCTGTTTTAGAATTTACAAATTATTTACAAGTGGAAATGTTATGTGCAGGAAGATTTAAAGTCGAAAATTTAAAGTGTTTTACGCACAATAAGAATTTTATCTTACCTGAAAATGTTGAAATGTAGTAGATACGTGTTGACATTGCAGGCACTTTACTTCAGTACGTATATAACCGCCAAATATTTGATTAATTGGTGTCGTTTCCTTAGAATAGCTATCCAATTTAGTTGCTTTATGCCTAATTAAATACGTACGTTCCATCCCTTCCAATAAATAACGTAAAAATTCATGAGCATCTTCTTGTTGTCCAGGCACCATAGTTCGGCAAATGACTGAAAATGTGTCATCTTTCTGTTATATAATATTTATCTATGTATGTACTGAAACGATTAAGATAACTTCTAGTGAAAAATACTTACGCTTTAGTTTACTGTATATATAATATGGCTTAATTGCATTTCCAGATTTCTGATGAGTGAATTGCAGAGTCTTGGCTACTGCACACGTAAGGCATTCTCCATCTAAAATTATCCTATTATCAAAACACCGTACTATGCCATTATAATTTTATACTGTATTTTGAAAGGCATGCGACACAAATCCATAAATAAAATAGAGTGAAAAAATTTACCATTTTGTTCCATCTTGGAATTATGATGAGGATCTGATAATAACCAGTTGACAAGAGCCGGAACATGAAATAATGCTTGAAGAGTACTATTCAAGTAACATGTATTCCCAATATTGAACATGCCTGCTCCGACTGGAACCGTGATTTTCCATCCCAGCTGAACTTTCTTAGGAGAATACAAAGTAACAGCTGGTTCTGGTAAAACTGGCAAAACTTTATTTGCATCATTCTTCTTTTTATAACTTGCGCCATCCTTTGCTTTGCTATCCTCTAAATTGTCAGATAAATTGAGAAAAATGTTGCAGTTAGCTTGCACCTGATTTCCTTGATAATCCTTTAATTCTTCATAACGGATCTCCGTTTGCATAATTCGAGAAGCATTGCTGACTAATTCAATCGACAGATCGTCCGAGGTTTTGGACGAACTGCTGTTTAAAGCACAATGGAGCCTAGCTGCAATAGGATCGCAGACACTGACTGCAGGCATTTTAGCGGTATGGTTTGAATTTTATTGTTTATTAATCACACAGACACACCTGTAATAAGATATTAACTATGAAATATAATTTTCAAATTATGTAGCTCTATATATACTTCAGATTTATGTTTAGTAAAACAAATATTGTCCGATACATACATTTTTTCCTATTATACATATAATTTAAATATATTCGTATTCAAAATAAACTGAAGCTGCTGTTGTACATACGAGTTAAAATGTTACAGAGTAAGGCTTAAATATAAAGATTAATATAGAGAATAAGGTGCATATAGTCAATATATACAATATATATAAGGCAAAAGAATTTATTCGCTACAGATTGAAGATTCTATATTCATAATCGCGAAATGTACAATTGATTGAGGAGCATCATCTCACCTTGGTAAGATCCCACGCGACAGATAACGCATGAACAAAATCGTTGTTTTTCCTGCCCTCGCCGAATAGATAGATATACATATATCTTGAACAATAATGATTATTATCGGGGAAAAATACGACAACCATCTGACGTCGATCTCCCTTCGAAATTCCGAGGATGGAATATCGCTTATCGATTCATTCGCGTTCACGTTATCGCTGGTTTACACTTCTCGTCCCCCTTACGCGCAACACAACGCGGTTTACCGGAGTCTCTCCCGTTACGAGCGATTTCCCGCGTGCGGCCGCGGCAGAGAGAGATATATATGATTATTATATATATCTCTCGTTATTCCGATTTTCTGCGTGTTCGTTCGGCGAGAAGCGATATCCCCCTTTTAATATCCGTAGGAACCGACGCGCCGATCATCACATATCGATCGTACGTGACGATTTTATGCTCACTCGTGTCGGACACGCGGGAACGGGAGACGACATACTCACGTACACCGTGATCGTGACAGCCATTTGCATTCACTATCTACAGGAGCACACGGCTTCCCCTCGGGCGAGCGCTCGCTCTTTCACACTAGAGAGTACGCGGGAAAATCGCACACACTCAAGATGGTTCCGGCCGGCTCTGGCTGGCGGCTTCGTGGAACCTCCCGAGTCGCAGCTGTCACTTTTGACAGCTGACCGCCCACGCAACGATACGCGAATATTTAATTTTTTGAAACAATTATATTTAAAACGCCTTTTCTCGCTATACTTGCTATTCGCTTTTATAACCTCTAGCCGATGGTCGGGTTCGCAAAAGACGAGCGATCGACCGATAGTCGTGCGCCGATTGGCCCGTACTTACGGAATTATCGATCCCATTTGTCGTCGTGACAGCCAATCGGATCGCACCGCCGTGTTTTCTGAACGGTTTGAATTTCGCGTCTCTCCGCTTCGCTCCCGTCCGTGTAACTGCTTTTGACATATCTAGGATACTTGGATAAAGTATCGCGAAAAACGTTAAATTGTCATGGTGCATGATTGAAAGAAGTGTCGGGGTGGAAACGAGGGTTTTTCACGGAGGGAAAGTTTCTCGTCACGTCGGTGCGCCGATCGAAAAAATGCATGCTAAATCCGATATTTCGGCAGACGCGTAAATTCGCTCTAACCTTTTTTTTTTATACTTGACATCTGAATTTGGGAGAGCCGAGGTTTTATTTATTCGAAAGTTTTCGCGACAAATTATTACGTTATTATTATTATTATTATTATATATGGGCTCTCTCTTCGAAACGCTCGATCGCAGAAATCGAAGATATGTCTGACAATAAGTTGGCCGAATCGATAGAGGACGACAACTCCGTCACGATGCTCGATGTTCTCCAGGTGGAGAATCAGCTCGAGGAAGACGCTTACGCCGTTTTGGGCGCCTCCGATGATCAGAATTGTACTTACAACAAGGTTGGCACATTTTTTTAACGATATTAAAATTTTATCCCTGTGTCAAGTGTTGCCTTATTATTTCATTGATTGACACATCAGTTGCTTTAAACGAAATAATTATTCGTAGGGATATATAAGGCAGGCGTTGTATGCGTGTAAAACCTGTTGTTCGGACAAAATTCGAGCTGCTGTTTGCTTGGCGTGTAGTTTTCATTGTCATGAAGGGCACGAACTTGTGGAACTGTATACAAAGAGACATTTTAGGTGCGACTGTGGAAATTCCAAGTTTGATGGCAAACAATGTAATTTGGAGAAGGTATTGAACCATTTATGTATATAATATTTGTATGTTTTATAGAAAATTATGTATTACATTGTGTTTAACGAATACTTTGTGTTTCTTTTAGTCAAAATCTTCTGTCAATACTGAAAACAAATATAATCAAAATTTCGATGGAGTTTATTGTACTTGCGCAAGACCATATCCTGATCCTGAAGGCGATGAAGATGACATGTTTCAATGTACAATATGTGAAGATTGGTATCATTTGAAGGTAAATATACATATACATATATGTGTATGTGTATTAGTAAGTCAAATTTATACATCTGACAATTGTTTTCGTTAGCATCTAGAATGTGAAAATGGTATACCTGGGGAAAATGCATACGATGAAATGATTTGTGCAGGATGTATGAGACAACATAATTTTCTGTGGAAATACGCATCAAAATATGCAGGTTAGATATTTTGACTATTAAAAAAAACATGAAATTGTTGTCTTTAATTGTCATAAATTTAAACCAATATGTTATTTTGATTAGTTTCGAAAAAATCAGATGTAAAATCTGACGTGTCTGAGAACAACGAAGAAATTGAAGTTGGTGAATTACCAAAAGGATGTCAAATGCCAAAACATAATTGTACCAATACTAAAGGAAGCTGTTTTTGGACAGAAGGTTGGAGAGCTGCATTGTGCACTTGCGAGGAATGCAAATCAGTGAGATATTGAGCATTATATATTTTCTTTTTTATGCAAATTAAATCAACGAAAAGTTTTAAATATTTGTACATCCTTTTTATGATAAACTTTTATTATATTTTTTCTATCTTTTCAGTTGTATAATGCAAATAACATTGCATTTTTACTTGATCCAAAAGATAGTGTACAAGCATATGAGGAAGCTGGCAAGATGAATAAACAAGAATCACAATATGAGAAAGGTATGAAGGCTCTTGAAAGCATGGGACATGTACAAAAGTTGACAGCAATTGAAGGTAAAATAAAGTGGAAATTATTTTATCAGATTTTTAAAAAGCAGAAAACAATATGTATTTTATTAATATTAACCTGATTTTTAATTATTTTTAGAATACAACAATATGAAAGAACGACTCATGCAATATCTACAAAAGTTTGCGCAAAACAAAAAAGTGGTACGTGAAGAAGACATAAAAGAATTTTTTTCAGAAATGGAATCAAAGAAGCGTCCCAAAGTGACAGTGCCAACATATTGTCGTTGAAAAAAATGTATGTATTTTAATATTACAATTAATCTCATAGATATCTATTAAAAATATGCTTATATTATGTTTCTATGGTAGATTATAAATTATAATATACACATAATATATATTGATAATTTAAGATTATCAATATTGTGGAACAAAATAATGTGCATGATTTAAAAGAACAATCAAAAGAAAAAATTTATTAAAGAGTTGCTAGTCTACTGATACATATATATCGACATAAAAGAAACACCAATTGTTTGAACATGCATTTCTTAACATCCCCAATTTTATCAAATAATTCAATAAAGTAGAGCATTTAATAAACTAAACAGGGTATTACTGTCGAACGTAAATTGCATATACATTTTGATCTAATTATTGTTATATAAAATTGTTTCTTCAAATTTCTTTAATAATAATTAGTTAAAGCATTCAAAAATTTATTTAATTAATACATCAATTAACATATTCGTTAGAAATCAAATTAATAATTCAAACAATTTCAAGTTTCGAAAATTTAAACTTGCGTGCTAATTATTTTTTGATTTATAAAATAAAAAATTAAAACTTTCTACACAATGTAAATATTTTATTATATATTTCCGAAAAATTAAAGAATTTAGTAACATATGATCCTAATCCTCACGAAATTAATTCCCAAAGTTCTCGACAATATCTATTATCAATGTCGATAAATTATCAATAGGTTTTTAATTTATAATTACTATTTTTTCGATTAAAGATATTATGTGTATACAAATCATAATTAGATAAGAGATGATACAAATCAAAATTTCAAGTATTGTAATTTTAAAAACTAATCTTTTTAGTAGTTTCTTATTTTCTTTATGCAGTATTTTTCTCTTTCTCTTTCGTCTACGTTATGTAATTTATTTATGAATTAAAAATGGGACGGGATAAGTTTATTATTGAATAATGAGCGTTATAATAAGTAAAGTATTGTAGTAGTAATATTTATTTATTTACTGCTATTATCTTATAATCTTTGCTTACAAAATATACGGATCAACGCAACTTTTAAGCAAGTCAGAATGTTCCCAATAAAATGTTATGCAGGATGTCTTCGACATGTTCACAATGGCGGAACATATTGTTGAGGTTTAATTATGCAAGCCACATTATTAGCCAACACTCTCGTGATCGCTTTAACGTTCACGCGTTTTATATATCTCGCGTTATAATTAATAACCTTTGGCAGTGATAGAAGGGACCTGGAGTATGGTTTTTTTCGTAACATCCGCAGAATCCCTGTATCCCAAATACGTGTTTCGACATACACTGCGATCTCCGATGTCGTTATCATTCGAATAATAATTTTATACGGTGAAATTATATGCGGTAATAGGAATAAAAAAATAATAACGTATTACCCCATTTTTTATCACCTTAAGATGACCAGCCTCAACAATGATGGCCGCGTCATCGCGAACGCTTCGTGATATAACATTCCCCTTACTTATACGCTACAATTTTTTAAGTTTAAGAGTCTTAACAATAGAACTTTCTCGATATTATACTATGATATCGTAATATTAAATAATGCATTTACATGCATCACGATTATAGAGATTTTTTTTATACGATGCAAAATAAATTGTGGTTGCAGCATATTTTGACTAGTATTTATATATATGTATATTTTATATATATATAAATAAGTTTGCATGCAGAAATCGCTGGAACTTGATATCATTTAAACTTTATAAAAGAGCGCAGAATTTTCTCAAGTAATCGTACGTAGTCATAAAAAATAAAAAAAATTACCATTTCCATTCAAGCTATTTAATATAATCGAATATATATATATAAATGAATATGTGATATTAAAAAAAAAATATCATACATTGCCGTGTAAACATTTAGAATAATTTCGGATCAGTAAACGTAGCTTTATATATCAAGACAGTTAATATAGCGCATTTATAGAGAATTTATATTTGTAAAATGTATTAAATATATATTAAAAAATGCTGCAATCACAGCTGACGACGAGTTTTTTCTGATCAAAATTCACGAAATACGATATGCATCTCAGGATTACATCGCGCGATATAATTTGCTTTACGTTAATTAAAAATTGCAGATCGGCAAGTTGCGTCGAGATCGATATTACTATCCTGCGCAATCTGATCTTTTAATTTTTTTTCACATTACAAACTTTCGTATATACAAGGCTAGGCATATTACTATATTCAATCCCCTATGACGATGATTCATGAACATGTACGAAGAACACTTCTGCCGGCCGATTCGCGGCCGGATCACAAGTAAATCGGGCTATCTTTGATGGGTAATAATATATAATTGTAACAGTAGAGTAGAGTAGTAATAGTAATAGTAGTAGTATAGTAGTATAGTAATATATAATAATATTAATATACATAGAACACCATTATAAAAATGCTTACGGCTAATTCTGTGCGTTGAATCTCTTAAGATTACGTCCGATCTTTTCGTACAACAAGGAATTGTCATATATATATTTATGTATATATATATATATATAACGTTTAATATCCATAACATGATCCCCACGTAAGATGCATCTAATGCTCCGTGGAATAATTTTCAATTTTCTCCCTCTTTCCTTCTCTCAATTATAATTTTTGATATTAATATTTTATTATTAATATTTCATTTTAATATTAATATTCTAATATTAATATTTTTTAAATCACTAAATAAAATCAAGAACTGAGAGCCGAAGGTTCTCCGGATATTGTGGCCAAACTATTTATTTCTTAATAATTAAATACACTAACAAACGTTTCGGTTTTATTTAGATCATCTTCAGTGTATACAATATAATATATTAAACGTCAAATACAAAAGATAAAGGCGCATATTACGCAAAAGATTTTATTTTTTGTATTTGACGTTTAATATTATATTGTATATACACTAAGGATGGTATAAATAAGATAATTTGTTGGAGTATTTAATTATTAAAAATTAAATATTTAGGCCACAAAGTACAACTTCGGCTCTCAGTCCTTGATTTTATTTAGTGATCTATTAATCTTCTGAGCCTACCGAATTAATATTTTTAAATTTTAAGATTTTACGCTATTAAATGTGAACCACTTTTCCATTCAACGTTATTACGTTATTATTTTAACGTGTTATTAACGTTGATTATTTCCTTGTTGCACTCGTCTTAAATTACGATTAAAAATCCTAGCGCGGCAAAATTAAATCTATCAGCGGAAATCAGCGCCGATCTCCTTTGTTTTCTGTTTACAAGAACTGCATAAAGTTTTTTCACGCGCGAGATAAACATGGCAATTAAAAAATATAGTAAATTTAAAAATACTTTTAAAATATCAAGTCGCGCTTTCCTCTCTGTAACTAGAATTTTTTTCGTAAATAGAATTTATCTCATTCATATTTAACGATACTTTTTTTTATTTCTGAAATTAAGGCAAACATTCAATAGGAATCTCACGACAAATGCAAGCTTCTCAGCCTCTATGGAAAATGTGGACAGTTATTTTCCTTAATCTCTATTCTCTTCCTCCTCATATATATTCGCTAATGACGATAAAAATATATCTCTACTCATAACCGACTCGATAGATATGTTTCCTCTTCAAAGCTTGTTTGTTCATTTAGAAATAAATATCTCTAGCTACTCAATTTAAACAACATGTTAATAAAGTTTAACCGATATTTTCTTACAATTTTCATAGAAACGTACTGTTTATGTTGTACGTTTTGCCGGACCAAAAATAATATTTGCCAATTGTTTTTTATTAAACATTAAACAGTAGTGAGATTGGCGTGGTTTTAGGTCAAAACTATGAATACGTATCCAAAAGTTTGCTTATTTTGTGGAAATATCATTATTTCGCGAATAATTTATTAGATTAGGGATAAAAACCGAGACGATGTCCTTATTAGCGTACAAGGTAGATAAATCACGTGATCCGAGTCACTTATATTAATTAGCCTTCTAGCGTTTTGATTTATGTTTCTACGTTAGGCGATTACTTCTTCGCGTAAACTTAATCGCATTAATTAATTATTAATTTGCTAAGATTACATATATCTCGCTCGTTCGCATCCATGAAATACGAAAAATTTCCGAGTCTAAAGAATCTGTAAATCAATAGATGACAGGATATTATCGAAAAAGAAGATCGATACGATGGACGAATCTCGAGTTTCGATCTTTTCACTTTTCTAATGGAAAAAACAATACAACAATCATCCAGACAGTCTATCCTAAGCGTTCAATTATGATTTGTATACTAAGATCTGTGATCCTGAAAAAGATGAAAATCGACAAATCGCGAAAAGCGGTTTTCGCTTTTTCGCGACCTTGTTTCGAGCGAGAATTTAAATCAAGGCCTCATTTCTCGACGAGTAATTAGAACTCGGAAGTTTCGAAGGTGAGACGAGCTAATTGCGGTGCCTGGCGCTTAAATTCTCGCTAAGGACTCTAAAACCCAGGTCGGGCGCACACACCCACCTTGCCGATTCCCGCTCTTTTACACGCCACTCTCTCTCTATATAAGCATATCATATTGATCTCGGTATGTTTCATTACGCGTGAGGTTCGTCGTTTACTCGTCCAATCCGGCATATTATGCCGTTTTTTTTTACCTCTTCCTTCAATGATCTCGACGTTATGCATATCAATATAGGGCATATACATATCACGTGTGCCTCTTATCATTTCATATCATACGCACGATGAGAGTACGCGTTTTTTCCCTTAAATTCGACAAAGAAATATTCGTAAAATTTACGACAAAGTCTTTTCTACGCTGAAAAAAAATTTATTGAATTCGAATAAGTATTCATTTCAATTTTGCCAAATATAAGTCATTTATTTGAAACTATTAATATTGATTTGATGTGAAAAATATTAATTTGATATAAGAAAATCTTTTTCAAAACAAATAAATATTTTGTTTCAAATAAATGATTTATTAGGTAGTGTTGAAGTAAATATTTATTAATTTAATATTTTTTTCAGTGTACGCGTATAATTTTTCCTCATTTTTTTCATCGTTCTGCGGGGAACAAATGTAGAGGAAGATTTTCGAATCTTATCTATTATGTATACGTAGGTACGTCACACAACGCGAATTATATATATCTTTATTTGAATAACTCGCAAGTAGAGATATATAACGCGACAACATGTTGCTTGGTACATCAGACTCTCATTCATCCATAAATTGAACACAATTTAGTCTTTGAGAAAGTAACGTCCGTTACTACGTATTTATAGTAAAAAAGATCGTGCCCCTCTCTCCAACGTTAAAGTATATCTTTTAAAAATCTGTAACACGAAAAAATATGTTGTCGATAAAATTTCCACGGTGTTACAACACGGACAAAGTACAACTTGTTAATAATTTTGATAATTGCATTTTGAATCTGAGAATCGAGAAAGTGCATAGAAGATATGTCTAACGTTTTTGAAACGCACATATTCGATTAGAAATACGAACAATCATTTCCGCGTGCTCTAAATATAGCATATTGTATTATTTTTTTACAATTATTTTTTTCTTTCAAAAAGAGAATCACTGATTTCTAATTCGTACGTAATTTTAAAATTATTTCACGTGTAATTTAGCTCGATAAGAGAGAGAAAGATATTTGAAAAAAGTTTAATTGATGCAGCGATGAAGAACACGATAATCACGCGGAACCTTTTTATACATTCAAAAGAAATTTAGAAAAATTATTCCAAGATCCGAGGACCGGATTTAAGAGTGCGAGGGACAATCGGTGGAGTGAGGGGGTTGTGCATAAAATGGGAATAAAATAAGAATCTTCAGGAAATTAAAGAAGGTAGTTGCATAAAATAGAAGGAGAATAAAAGAATTATTTCCTGAAATATATTACGTAATTTTTTTTTTATATCCACATCCGCGTTTTGCGCGATTGTCCCTCTTTCAAGATTCTAAATTCGGTCCTGTCAGATCTACTTGATTTAAATTAAACTCTTCTCCGCGGATTATATTCGCGAATTCCTTCTGAGCTTTCCTTCATAAAAGCTGCGTATTATGTTTTTCGCTGCGAAAATTTGCCGACTTAATTTTTCGCAATAAATATCCCTGCGAAATTTTTTTCATGCATATCTTGCGCACGCAATTAGCGTAATTATTTTATAACTCCGTCCATGTCATACGACCGACCGATATCGTCAACTATATAATAACATAATTAAGAGCACACGCCCTCCTGTTACCACGAATTTGCTGCTGTTCTGTAATTTGGTTTCAAGACCGTTTAAGGTCAGCGAGCAAGAGAAACAGCAACGTTAAATATCGCTAGTGTTTCAAATATAATCCATTTAGAATTCCTCTATTCATTGTGTTTCATGCGTTACAAATGTCAAACTAGCTATTCGAATCGCATATTTGCTCGCGGTCATTTTCGTCAACGCGAAAAAAGTCGAGAGAAGCAAACAAGTTCTCGAGAAGAGAGAAGAGCGATGATCGATGACCGTGTCGGAAAATTGTATCCAAGACGACGGAGTCGTCGCCCACGTCTCTGCGTGCATACATATCATCTCGGCCGAGATTTTTTACTCTGCTCTACTTATATTCGTGCTCATCTCGGAGCACTCACAAAAATCACCTTTCTCCCTCCGTGTTTCGCTCGCAATCTCGCACCGTTATAAAATGCGATTAAACAGCTATGATGCTCAGTAAATAACGTAGCGAGTGCGCATACAATTGATTAAACCAAACTATGCTCGCGCGTATCGTAACGATGCGTGTACAGAATGGAGGAACTTGGTCCTGACGACGTGACGGACGATGATGGCGTGGTACTCGTGCACGGCGGAGACGCGGCTGACGCGGAAGGTAACACCCTCCTCGAGGCAGGCGGTATCTAGGTATTGTGACCCTGTTTGTGAGGTTTGTTCTCCACGTTGTTGGACGTCGATCGGCCCACGAGATCCTCGAGCTCGTCGGGCGTCAGGACCGTGAAGTCCCTGTCGGTGTCAGACGAACGGACGATTGATGGAACTCGAATATAAGAACTCGAATACAGGAACTCGAATATGAGAACTCGAATACAGGAACTCAAATCTCAAGAGTCGCAGAAATGGAAGATAAAGTCTCACATCTTTAGCCGAATAGCAGCTGAATAATTACACTGTTCAAACGAAAATAACATTTTTTTCGAACTCCGATGCGAAACTCGTTTGTTATAGTTTTTTGGATTTTAAATACGAATCTTCCAAATTATTCCATCACGTTGTAATTTTGAGAAATTTTTAATTAAAGTTGCAAAAAGGATTATTTTCACGAACTTTGTGATATTATAACTACAATATCTGACGTGCTAGATAAGTTTTATTGCAATCAAAATAAAGTATATTAAGACTTTTTACCCTCAAAAGGAATTTTTAATTTTTTAAACATAACCGAAATCAAAAATTGATCTGAGAGTTGAAAGTTCTAACAATATACTTTATTTTGATCGCAATAAAACTTTTCTAGCATGTCACGTATTGTAGCTATTATAACAAAGTTTGTAAAGAAATGCAACTTTAATAAAAAAATCTCTCAAAATTGTGAAGTGATGGAATAATTCGGAAACCAGATTCAGCATCCAAAAAACTACAAGAAACGTCTAGTCTCGTTCAGATTAATTTTTTTTCTTGAACAGTGTTATTCGCGCGACTCGAGAGAACAAATCATTAAAGTGTTTTCTTTCACTTTAGATAACCGTGGATGGTATACATACATTGATAAGGGCAGTGATAGTCTTCGTCGTGTGGAACTTGTAAAACTCGATGGGCACAAAAAGGAAAAAAAATTCTTTTGGAGAAAAAGAGAGAAGATAAAAAAAGAAAAGATGCCCGGCAGCATGCAAGACACGGTTCCGCGTGTAGTATCGCGCAGCACCCTAGCTGCGTGTATCGGGTGAAAGGAGAATATTGGAGAATATTGATCGATCTGCCTCTTTTACCTGTGTTGAGCCAGCAGCATGTCTATGCTGGTGACGCTCCGCTGATGGGTGCCGTCCCTCTGCGCCGCGTTCTGCTTTCTGATGCAGACGGCTCTTAACGGGGTGAGAACCAGTCCTAATCCGAGAAGGCTGCTGCCGGTGGCGATCAGCGCCGCCGAGTTTTGCGCCGCTTCCGCGCCCGGAGCGAGTTGCACCAAACCGACGACCAGCACCACCGCCCCCAGCAACATCGAGCCGACGACGACGTACAGCGAATTTACCTGGAATAATTTTTATTGTTGGAAGAGGAGATGTTTTTTTATTCAGGATGATACAAGCGTCTGTCTCTTCTTTGTCGCGCTTTGATGATGAAAAGTTGACTATGTTTGACAACGAAGCGAAAGTCAAAGGCTCCTATTACCTTTCCGCAAAAGTAGTACTCTGGTGGTTCTTTGTCTAACATGGCCAGCACCGCCTCGCTCTCCGCCAGTGGACTCCCCGGCTGGCTGTTCCCTATTCGCGAACCCTTCTCCTGGTAGTAGGTCTTGTGGAAGACCTTCACCGAAGGTACCGGTAACGCCGTAATCATTCTGATGAGGAATAAAGACGCATTTAATTCGAGAATCATTCGCAAGAAATATATACGATTCGAAAAAGAAGAAAAAAACAATAACCGAAAGATGATGAAAAATTGATACGTTCATGACATGTAACGATCGAATAATAAATCACATATACCGTCGTAATAAAGTTTACGTAACTGTGCCGTATAAAAAGTCCCCTCTAAATTTTACGGGGCCACATGACTCAGACTCAAAACCATATATTTTTCGTATCAAATTATATCGCGTAGTCGTTTCTTCGGTGTATTTTACAGTCGAATGTACAATAGCGAAGGCGCGATTACTGTGGCAAACGGTCGGTGGTGTCGGTGGCCTAGATATGTTCTCGAGGGCGATGGCCTTTGTACCTCGATTATCGAACAACCGAAGCCAGGCGCGGGGTGCAAAGCTGCACCGTTGAAAAAACCGTCGTCGGTTGCACGACAATAGATTCCCCTTCTCTCTCTCTCTCTCTCTCTCTCTCTCTCTCTCTCTCTCTCTCTCTCTTTTTCTCTCCCTTCTTCTTATAATCCCAAATTTACGTTTAGACTCCATCGACGCGCGTTAACGATCATAAATACGATCTCGCGTGACTCGCGTTTACGAGGAACGTGAATAAGCAGAAAAAAACATCACCGCACCACCCTCATAATAATTTAGCGCGGCTGTATAATGATTTTAATATATGCGAATAAAAAAAAATTCTATTCCGTCGGGACATCTGATGAAGTGGCCGAAGTTTCCGTAGTTGGTCAGATAAGTACGAGGATTTCGCAATGCCGAATAATCGCGAATGCGCGCGAACTCAGTGTGCATAATAAACGGATACAACCTTTATCGCTTTAGTAGAAAGGCGTAAAGTGGAACAGTGGCCTGATTCCTCGATGTCATGGTTGCAGTTCCACGTGCATCGAAGAGACTAGGCCAGTTATAGGCGCGCATGAATGTGCAACTAGTATCATTGTGCTATCTTGTAGCCTGGATTTCGGCCAAAATCTTGAGAGAAAAAAATGTAGAGGAGGAATAGGGGAGAATATTAATGGTATATATCAAATATACCTCTCGATATTCGAGATTATCGTATATTTTTGTTCGTCGAATAAATTGTAAGCTTTTTCGCTCTTCGATTATAATAAATAAAATAAATATTAGGTGGTCGGAAAAGTCATGACGTATTATAATACAATAATTAACTATATATATAGGTAAAAAACCGTTTGAAAAACATAAAAAAACCTAGAAAAATACACATCACAACTTTTTTTATATTATAATATAATAAATAAATTGATTTAAAAAATAAAATAAATAAAATATCTCTGCGCGATGTTGCGAGTTCCGTGAGTTTAGCTCGAGATAGGGCAATGTTACATATCAGAGGTGATTCACCCTGGAAGGTACCAACTCGTTGGGTCGTTCTACGTTGGGCGAGATCATCGAGGCAGCAAGAGTCTCTCCGGATCTCAAATTTAGAGGAAAATAAATAAACTTTCTTACGTTTGCGCTCGAAACTCGTGTCATTCTCGCGATAATAATTATTTCCTCTCTGTTCTTCGTAAAGATATCAAGCGTGAATCTCGAAAAAGCAGAGTGTATTTTAAATTTATGCCAACGACCTACACTTTTCGTGCATTGACTCATTGCCGCTGCCTTGGATCGTGCTTGTTACCGTTGATATCCCGCGCACGTTTGGCGGTGCTCCAGAAAAATAGCTATAACAGTTTCCGATAATCGAGGTTGGTGCACGCCATATGGCCGCGTGCGTTTATTCCTATCGTGATTTCATTAGCTCTAGACACGCTGGCGTGAGAGAGAAAGCGGGAGGATCAATGACGAAAAACATATATCAATATTTGTCAACTGTCAGAGGCGGGTGATGAATCTGTCTCGAGTGTCTCTCGTATCTCTCATTGAGATACAACTGTCATGACACTCCGAGTGATGTTTACTTTTTATTTTTTTTTTTGCAAAAAAATGTTACGCTAATTCCTCCTTGGATAATATTCGGATTCGATTCGATGGAGGTTTGAGACGCCTTATGTAACGCAAACAATGTTAGGATACGATGTTGCACTAAAATCTCAGAAAATCGATAAATGGGTCACCATTGCACATTTAACATCCAAGGGAAATTTCACGCTTCGCCGATAAGCTTTCAACCGCCGAACCAGATATTCTATATCGGGAATCTCTAGCCTTGAATAAATTAAAAGAGATATCTTCCAAATCTCGCAAATTTAAACTCTAAGCTGCTTTTGTTACAAATAATAAACTCAAGTTACATGTGTCTACATCAATTATATTATATATGATACTGAATAATTTCAAAAACAGAAATATATATATATATATATATATATATATATATATATATATATATATACATATATATGCACACACACGATAATTCTAGTTGCCCCATATATGTTCACCCTGAGAAAATAATCAAAGGACGATATATTTGCAAGCGCACACATACATGCATGAGTAAAAATACTTTTTCGCCTTAACTGGAACTCAAATTAATGAGAAATCGAAGGCCAAACTGCTTATAGGGCGTATAAATAATGGTAAAAAAATTGTGTCCGTGACGTATCTCTACTTTTTGACGGATATGCTCAATAATTTACAATTAAAATATACGGTGAAACTTGACGAATTCTCGAAATTGATTCATGAACGAAGGGAGATAAAACAATTAATCTCGCTCGTTGCAAAAATTCCGATTCGAGATTCCTCCCGTTTCTCCGTACTTATCCTATATCGGACTTACTTCGTTCGCTGGATGCCCGAACGTCAGATATATGTCGAACCCTCTTGCGACGTACTCGATTTACACAGGGTGCAAAAAGTGTCGAGAAGACGGTGAAGAGAGAAAAAAACAGCGGGCGAGAGGATGAAAAGCTGAAAGAGATAGAGATAGAAAGAGAAAAAGGGAGAGCAGGGGAGGGAAGAAGAGAGAAAAATGGGAGCACTGCGAAAGCGTTCGCGAAGCTCGCGCGTTCGACAAAAGCTCGTTTTGACGGGGTGGTGGTCCCACGACTACTGAACCTTTTCAGAGACTCCTCGTATCCTGGTCGATAAACCACCCTACGCAGCCACCCTGCCGCCCACCAGGCTTGTGCTAAAAGTATCGTCACCATCGACGACCACCTGGTGCGTCGAGCGCGCGCGTGCGCATCCATTTATCCCTTTTTCCAGGGATGACGTCTTCGACGTTTCCAAAACAAAAACCCCGATTCAAACTCGCCTTTCTCTCTTTTGTTCCTCGAAAGCGCGATTCGACGGAAATTTCTGAAAATTTCGAATGAGTCAAATTGAATATCTAAAAATGCGATTTTAATTTGTCAATCTTCTTATTCTAGGGTGTCTCATCAGAAATTGCTGAAACTAATCAGCTGTCATTTTTTAATGCATGTAATTGTTGACAAAACAAAAATTGTGTTGAAAAGAGGAAAATCTGCTGTTTTTAATGGATATAGATAAAATGTTTGTATACCAGTTTATTTTATTGAAAAAAGTGCTAGTAATCACATATGTAAACTAATGATAAATATTTTTGAGGTGTGCACCATTTGAATTTGTACAAAATTCTGTTCTTTTATGAAAACTCGTAAACATTTTTTCTAACGTGTCATTTTTAATTTCAACAGCTGCTATTAAATCTGACACTGTTGAAAATATTTATCATTAGTTTATGTGATTTTATATGTGATTATTAGCACCTTTTTTAATAAAATAGATTGATATACAAACATTTTATTTATATCCATTAAAAACTATAGACTCTTTTCAACACAATTTTTGTTTTCTCAATAACTGTATATGCATTAAAAAATGACAGCTGATTAGTTTCAACAATTTCCTACGAGACATGTATAAATAAAACCTATACGCATAAACAAATATATATATATATACACGCGGAAATAATGAAACCTTGCTGTTATATTCTCAATAATCGAATTATAAACTATAAATTCGGATGGATATATGTGGTTCTTATAATAAATGATGAAAGTCACAATGACGGGGGATTTCTCTATGTTTACTGTTAGTGAAAACGTTTTATTAAACTCTGAAAGTTAAAATAGCGATAGAGTTGACTTTTGCTTACAATTTTGTTTAATGTAGAATCACATACAAGGTTAATATCGCCCACGTTCCTCCTCGCAACAACTCAATGACAGTTCCGCTCAGCTGTTGCGCGCTCGATTTATTCTCGATTTTTTTTCATTTTCCTCTAATTCAAACGCTACGAGGAACTGTCAGTCACTGTCGATCGTTTGCGAAGAGCTCGCTCGCTCGTTTACAAGATAGATTTCGGGCAAGGTATCGTGACGAAACTTTCATAATAATTGCCGTTTGCCCGCGCAAACGGAACGTATATATATATATATATATATATATATATATATATATATATATATATATATATTATGTATAGAGTTGCAGATATAGCCCTGCGCGCGTGTAACAATATAATTATATAATATATATATATAATATAATTATAATATTAGGAAGATAGAGTGTATACATATAATATTGTATAATAAATTTTTATACAAAATCTCGAAAGATCGTCTTCTGAAGAAAGCACTTTTTTTACTCCTCTGCCACAAATTCATTCCTGTTTCTCTCTCTCTGTCTCTCTCTCTTTCTCTCTCTCTCTCATTCGTGATAATTGGTCGTCGATACAATGCGTGAATATATTATATATATAAGAGTGTGGAGAGTAGAACATTATGTATGTAAATTATCGAGAAAAGAGAGAAAAGCCAGTTCTCTCTCTCTCTCTCCATCTATGCGCAATTTTGTTCGCGCGCGAGATGAGATGAGACAGATAGATAACGTGATGAACGCACAAATATACGCATATAAAAGATAAAATATATTACATACATATATATATAAATATATACATATGTAGACACATATAAAAAAAGATGTACGGCCTTGTACATACAAAATCACGAAACTTGGCGTCAGTTCGCGTATATGAAATCGCAAACGCATTTGATGCACTTGTATGAATGTGTACATGTATGTACGTGTATAAGTGTTTATATGCGTGTGAACTTTGTTTTCAACTCTGTTGAAAAAAAAGAAAGGAAAAGAAAATCACGAAGAGGCAAGGAAAGCGACTCGTTCGACTCGGTAAACTGTTTGCAAAGAATTTCCATTTCAAGCATATCATGCACGACACGCGACGTAATAGAGATAATAAGGGTACCTATTAATTTTTTCTCACAACGCGTTGTATCTGCCCCACAGCACGGCTAATCCGCCTAAAATATTTTACGAGCCCTAATATATATATATATATATATATATATATATATATATATATATATTATACGCAAGCCTACATACTATATAATATAAGATACAATAAGATCTCGTTGTTCGTACAAAACTCGTGACATACGAATTTATACGTATAATACGAATTTTTCTTGATTTTTGGATTGAATTCGTTTCGTTTGACGTGTGCAACAACGTAAAAACAACGCGCAGCAACGTATCTCGTAAAGTATGCATCTAACAAATACAGTCCGTACGCTCTTTTTTTCTCCTCAGACACGCGACAAGCAACTAACAATAGTACCGTTTTATGCATTTACTACGATTTTGGCACCTATTCTCGTTTGCGAGCTCTTGAAACAAAAACCGACTAAACACAATTGGAATCACCAACAACGAGGACTTACTATATGTATGTATATACATACGCGCGAAGAGAGAACTTTTCTAAATGAATATGCGAATTGTGTGTTTCTACGCGCTTTATATATATAAATATATAACTACTTTCGAGATATTATCACGCTTATCGCCAGTTTTTTTTTGCACGAAGCTTGCACTATATGTATATATACACGCTAACATTTTATATAATATATACTTATATTTCGTCTAATAGGGGACACAATTTGCTGACTTATTTATTATAGAAGAAGAAATGATACGTAATGTGTGTATATGTAATCCCAACCCGAGAAAAATTTTTTATATGTAACAATATAAAATTATATAGAAATATATAAAATTATATATATAATCGCAAAATTATATATGAAATATGTCCATACATAATTAGATAAATGCTTTTTTTATATATAATTATATAAATTTATATATATATACAATAAATAAGTACTTCTTCATATATATAAATATATATATGTTTCATATATAATTTAACATGATTATATATGAACCCTTATAATTTATATATAAATTTATATAATTATGTATAAAAATAGATATTTCACATATAATTTTACGATTATATGTATAATTATACAATTATTTATATATAATTATATATAAAAAATTTCTTCCCGGGAAGTAGTAAACTGACGTCAATAAACGTCAAAATGACATCATTTTGACGTCGAATGTCATTTTGACGTTTAATGACATCAGTTTGCTACTTGGAGTATTATGTAATGCGTAATATGCAATAAATGTATAACGTGCAATGCGTATAAAGTGGCGCATAGCATTTTACAATCCCTAAGTTGTTAGTAATTACAATTATATATATTATTCCCTTCTTACACGTATCTCTCGTTTCCTCATTTTTTTCCCACTAAATCGCGTGGACAACAAGTCCAAGGAATAAAGACACCATTTTCGTTTTCGAGTGGATTCGCGCGTAGAAAATCGCATCGTCAACCGCTTAAAAATTGATTCTCATACATGAGATTTTACTTCGGAAGGCGCTAAAGTGCACTAACACTCTGCGTTTGATCAAAATGGCATGATGCAAGACGTAGATTTTTGCGTTGCAAAGGCAATTGGAGCGATTACAGTAAACACCGTGTTTCGCGTGAAAATTAGGCAGTGCTGACTAATAAAGTAACCATACGTTTAGACGCAAAAGAGAGATGTCAATACATTCAGAAAACAAATTTTAACTTGACTAAACCTTTCAATTAGATATTATTTTGTTAATTAAACATATAAAAATATTTCAATTAACTATAACATATTAAATCTAACAAAACGTATGTATATTTGACTTAAATACTAATATATGTTCAATTAATAAAATAGTAATTTAGTTGAAAGATTTAATCAAATTGAGAAATTTTTTTCAATGTATCATGATTGTACACATGAGTGTACAAATTTATATAATAAAGTAACTGAATCCATAGTCAAATTATGGCCTATTTAGAAGGGGAAGGGACTTATTTTTCGATAATTTTGATTTGAATTCGAAATACTAACCATTCTTAGAAATTTTTTAAAAGTTAAGAGAGCTTAGAGATAATTAAATATTGTATAATAAATATATTTGCTTATCTATTTATAATTTTATTATGAACCTGTATGAACTTTTCATTTATAAAAGATTAACAAGCCACGCATTAGATACAGTTACCTTATTACTGCTATGAGAAATAAAACACGCGTTATATGTGGGCGCCGGAAAGTTAAAAAAAAGTTGTATATCGCTTATACGAGCTATTAGGTGAATTACTTCGAACTTTCATGACTTACTTTACAGTTCGCGTCTCACTATATACGTTTACATTTGCCGCGAGTTCATCGCAAGACAGATGCGTTACTTATTTTTAGGACTGATTGCACCAACGTCGGTTACCGCTCTATGTGATAAAATTATCTATCTCCGTTATATTACAGCTGTGAAACTCGGATATCTATAAGAAGGGGTATCTATATATCTAACATCCATCTCTAGAGATAGCTAAAGCTGCCACGCGTTAGTGCAACAGACCGCGTTCTAGAGACGATTATATAACCGATCGTCCGCACTAATACTAGATTACAGTGCGCATATATTGTAAGTGCATATAGGTACGTGTGCATGTATATGTATGTGTATATGTATGTATGTGTCTGCGCTTTTATATCTTTTATATATCGACTGTCAAATGAATGAGAAAAAATATAAGGGTACAGTGGAATCTCGCAGGACTAAATCAGATCGTCAGGGTGTAAAATATTCTCTGTGTGTAATTGTCAATATGTGTGCATAGTGTTTTTTTTTTATAATTTCACGCGAGATATAACTTTAAGTGGACCCCAAATAGACGAACGTGTATCCGCGCGCCGAGAATTATTCTCGCGGAAAACGTCATGTTGTTCAAAATGCACTTTGAATTATATCCTTAATACATATTTTATTACGCGTTGTACGTAAAAATTGTAAAAATTGTAAAACGAATATAATTGTAAAAGGGGGAGAGAGTGGAATTGATATCGCAGTAACGTATATACAAGCGATATCGATTTACCCTTTTACCGGCCTTTTGCCCTCGATGAAATTATGCAAAAGGCTGCATATCGAGCGAACGCAAACAATTTGTCAATTTGACATATGGAACGAAGCTTTCTCCGCGCGCAGGCACAAACTTTTTTTTGTTAATGTCGCTTAAGTATAAATATATCTGTATATATATTATATGTATATATACGAGTGTAAAAAGAGATAATGTACATGGATCTTTGTTATATGCAAAAGACGCATTTCTCATGTCGCTTCATGACGTTGCATTGCGAGATTGTTAGTAACAATCGAGTAACATTTTTCCCGATTCGCCAAGATCTTTTTTTTCTGGAAGAAGTTATCGAGGTTGCTAATTGGTGCGTTGGAGTGCTGAAAAAATTCTTATCCCTATAATCAAGTTATTAAATTTCGACATTAACGTGTTATGAATGGTTACTCCGATTTTTTTACGATTTATTCGCAGAAGACGCGCCGCACATTCTAGGAAACTCTAGATATACTTTATTAAGACGAAAGAATGGCGATATTCTTCTTCCCCTTCCGAAGGAACAAAAATCAAATTTCGCTAAACTTCACTTTATATATTTATGTTTTTCGGTCCGCGCGAATCAAAATCTCCCTCGTCCTCCCTCAGTCGAATCATCGAACAAATACACCCCTTTTCGCGTATTTTAGGCCTCTTCGGAATGCGAGCCCTGAGAACTACGTTTTTTCTTATGATTGTTGTGATGGTGATGTTGATGATGGTGATGGTGATGGTGCTCCCGATGCTGCATCAGGGCGTCCGTTTCCGGTTGATTCTGATGACCGACTAGAAGGTCCAGGGTGTCTTTAGGTACGGCTGGGGGTGCTTGCTCGGTCGTCGCGACCGGCGGAATAGGCGTCGCGGCCGGCGACTCGACCGGAAGTGGTACGCAATGTAACACGTAACATCTTACGCCCGCTAGAATAAAGCCTGGAAACGGAAACGATCGCATTAATTGGGAGCACTTTGCCGGCGAGCGATTTGACCGGAAGTCAGCACGCACGCCCGGAACGCTCGTTGATCGATTCAGCGCGATTTAACCCCTAATTCGATGCGCGCTGCATTCGATTGAATGCGTTGAAAAATAAACATGAAGCATATAACATGAGACATATAATTAAAAAAATAGACAGCGGTTCTTGTTGAGCGTATTTTGAAACGGGGATTCTTCAGTTAATTAATTTTGCTTCGACGAAGATGTCGAGGAAGTTTTATAATAAAACTTTTCACAATTTACAACACATTTTGTGTAATTAGGATTGAAATGAAGATTCTACTACTGAGAGAAATCTACTTAAAATTTACTTGGGAATATTATTCCATTATCATTTTTGTTTTTCCAAGGAAACTTTTAAGAAGATCCTTCATTATTAACTTAAAGATCACTAAAGAAAAAAGTGCCTTGACATTTTTTTAAAGAAAACAAATAAGGATACTTTCTCGTTCTAAATACATAATAAATAACATACGCATATTAAATAAATAAAATATATCAAACAATTCAGAGAATAAAAAGATAAGGATATTTTCTCGTTCTAAATGCATAATAAATAACATACGCATATTAAATAAACAAAATATATCAAACAATTCAGACAATAAAAAATTGCTTTGTTTCTCAATATTATTTTTATCTAAATAAGTTAACATGTAAAATGAAAATTGCAAATGTCTCGGGAGTTTTAACGACATTATTAGCAGGACTTTCTCTGGTATATATACACTTTCAGATAGAATGCACTTCTCAAAATGAAGATCCTTGACTGATTTTATAGAATCGCATCTTGTACGATACAAAGGATTATTAATGAAGAGTAGAAGCGGGAAGGAAGCTTTTTCCGTATCCACACAATAAGAAAGCTCACCCAGTAAAAGTAGGGCAGCGCCTGCCACGAGTAACGCCAATCTGTGGTTGGTGGTCGTTGCACCCGGGGCGAGTTGGACGAGACCGACCACGAGCACCACCGCGCCCAACAACAGGCACACCACCACAGCATGCAGCCCGGATATCTGCGGGCAACGATCTTTCGTCAGCTGACGAATACGCGTTCGCACTTATCGCTTATGCCGAGATTCTCTTATCGCTCGTGTAGTATATTTTTATTCAAATTAAAATTGGACATGGTTGTGCAAACTGCCCTTTTGGACATATTGATTTTTGTGTCTCAAAACAGAGCGCATAACGTAATGTATAAAAATTTGAAGAGAAAGAGAGACACTTTCTCTCTCTCTCTCTCTCTTCAAATGTGATCACTGATTATTTTAATATAACGCTCGATATAAATATAATTTTTAATATTATTTTAATACGATATAATTTTTTACACAATAATAATTTTTAAATAATAGAGTAAGCAAGAAAAAAATTGCAATAGTTTTGCGAAAACTATTTTACTCGTTACATAGTTAAACTCTGTTGTTCCTAGAAAAGAGCGAAGAAAGTACTTTATTCTAACTAGGGACGTACACAAAATATTATATATAACTTTGAACAATAACTTGATAATGCGATCATGTGTCATTACGATGAATTATTACCTTGCCGCATAAGTAGAGCTCGGGCATGGGTTCTAAATTGTTGTGTCCGTGCGGACTGGGGGTGGGTGGTGAACCTTGAAGGGGTGGTAGCCATTGCCCTCCCAAATAGAGCTGACTCGGCCGTTTCAGCCTTTTTTCTTGTCTTCTACGCTCGTGGCGAACCGCCACCGCTGGCATAGCACCAATCATCCTAATCAAACAGAAGGCGAATCATTTCAAGTATATACCCATCTCTTGGAAAAACAAAAAAAATTATATGATTTACATTACGAATTTGAAACACGTTTTATTGGAATAAATTTAAATTGAAAGAATGCTTTTATTTGCGAATTAAATAATTTTTTTTACATTATTAAAATCATAAAGTGTATACTTGAGATATTAATAATTTTAATATTATTTGCATATATATTTCCTTAAATATATATGATTCATACATGTAAAAAATCTCTTCCTCGTCTAAAAATGGAATGTACTCTGCTGTTTCGATTCAATACAGAGAATCTTTATATTCGGAGATATATTTAGATTTCATATTTTGAATGAAAATGTAGTTTGAAAAATCAAATGTATATACTAATTGTCTATCAATCTGCCCACAATCTCTCTGATCGGTGTTGCATTATTCAGGAAATATTTGGCACGAAAATTATCGAAATACATCTCTCTCGATTTAAACGTATCTCGACATTGAATCGAAGCAACAAATTATTTGATTTCGTACGTGTCGACGGTGTTTTTTGATAAGTTGGAAAATGAACGTAGCTATGCGGAGATTAAAACACTTTTTGGCGATACCCTGCGATACGGACTGACACCGGTACTTTTGCGCCAAGTGCGCTATGAACTTTGGTGACCCCGGTTGACCTCGGGCCGGTCGATACGTCATTGCATCCGCCCTACGGCCCGGAGTCGATGCAGCAAAGTTCCAGGAGGCCGGAGAGCGGAAAGAGAGAAACGATACCACCAGGCAAAGTCTTAACGGAAGTCCTAAACTTTCGTTATCCGTTAACGTTTATTCTGTTTCAATGATACTTCAAATGATATATTACTCTTTCTCTCTAGCGAAACTGATCGGCAAAATCAATTTCAAGTTTTTTTCCCTTTGCAAGAACGAGCTTGAAGTGCAACGCAGCTGTTAGACCAAACTTTCTAATTAAGGGGGAGTAAAATAAAAGACGGGAATGAACTCGTTCACTGTGGATTCTCGTAGAATGGAGAGCGGAAATTCCTCAAGTGTAAAAGAACAATCATTCGTTAAGAATGGAGCGTTTCATAAAGATTTATTCTCGAAAAATCGTGCATCAAGTTGTGTATAAGTGGTACAATAGAGAAATCGCATAAGAAAGCTTTGAGAACTCGATTAAAATAGCTACTGTAGTAGTCGTAATAATCAGCGAAGTAATACTCTTTGGCGCGCTTTAATTAATTAATATGTATATATATATATATATATATATATATATATATATATATATATATCACCGAAAAAATTGTATTCTCGAAGGGGATGTGTCATTAGAAAATCCCTCTTAACAGGTATCCTTAAGTGCGTCTAGAGCATCCTTTAAAACTAACGAGATAAGAATATTTTTTGTACGGTCACATGTTTTTTTTAATGCGTTCATTTGGCATTCTTGGTCATGTCAATATAGTTATATAGTGTGTTGCAATTTTTACAGTGCGGCGTTTGTCACTGAATAATTTGAATTCATTAGGAGAATGGAAGAAGTAAATCAGAGAAGACTTAAAAGAAATGCTAGGACAGAATATATTCTAAAAATCAATGAGAAATGCTGAAAATGAGAATACAATTTTTGTCAGTGTGTAAACGGTTAATTACAACAATATTTTTCTCTCTTTCTTTTTTTGTGTCTAACTTATATCTTTTTCTACGGATACGTTTCCGCGGACGGTAATCCCAAGGCTAGGGGACGAAGATGGCATCGATTCGGTAACACGACACGCTAAACGACAGGCTGTGATTGAGAGCTCTCCTGTCTCTATTCCCTGTAATTCCGAACCTACGCAAACGTATCCTCTCACACGCGTCGTCTCCCCTAAATTTCGCGATAAATACAGTGATATCCTTTAAATTGTCCAGAGTGATACGCTCGTATCGTGTTCTTACATCATTGACATATCAATTTTCGACGTGTAAAACACTTTATTAAATGAGAAGCAGAAATATTTTCTCCTCTCTCTCTCTCTCCCTCTCTCTCTTACAATTAATTATACCCAGAAGATTTCGACAAGAATTTTTTGGACAAGATCTGTAACGGCATAGGAGCGAGATTTATCGAGATCCTATGTAATATATTCGCAAAGTGAGCACTTTAGTTTCGTTTATGCGTTTCTCGGCAATACTTTCATCATTCAAAATCGTCGGCTTCCTCGTTATACGATTAATGGGCAGAATCGCATGATTTGTATCGTGTTAAAAAAAAAAAAAAAAAAGAAATAATTGCTTTAAAGAAAAATGAATAATTAAATGCAACGGCGATTTGATTGATCGGATCGATTCGATTAATTGAATCGTACATCTAACACATCCGTCTCATTGTGTCGTACAGAGATAATGCATTGCTATAATATTTATATTTCACATATCGCGCTATTATATATATGTATAAGCTATAAAATGTAAACCCAGCAATCTTGAGATTTTTCAAAGACACTCGAAAACGGCGTGAAATAAAATTGTGCATAACAAACAATTCTATAGACGCAGATTTGTGTTTTTCTCTTTAGAAATGTAACTTTCTATCGGTAATCGATACGACTCCATGCATTTATATATATATTTAAATCTGAAAAATTTGCAAATATACGATAGGCGCGTGCTTATATATGTATTTATATATATGCGCGAGAGACACTATTGTATAGAATATATAATTGTACCACTTATTTGGGGGCGTTCTGGAACAGAGATTTTTTCGTGTGTCAGATACGCGTCCCTTTGAAAAAGATATCGTGCTTCGTAAATCTATCATATGTAAACAACAAAATTACAATCGAGATAGTACGTCTGAAGTACTTCTAATTTTTAAGAAGATGTGTGTACTTCTTAAATTTAAATGCGAGAGAGACTTACACGCTATATATATTTATATATATATATATGTATGTATGTATGTATGTATAAGTAAGATTAGTTTGCGATTTCAGCCTTTCAAGTCGAGGAAACGAATGAATAGAATTGAGACTAAAAAATTATACTTTTCAAAAATATAGAGAATACCTATATAATAATATGATCACAGAAGTTCGAGAAACAATTAATCCTTAGTATTAACATTCATTCACATGTGTTTGTGCATGTTTACAAGAGTTCACATACAATTCGCGTATATCGAAGGTACGCGAAAATCAAACGGGGTAAGAAATTAAATTAATCTCACATGTATACATATATTTTCGTCTCTTCAACAAATTACAAAAAAAAAAAAAAGAAAAAATATCGAATGCACAACCAAAGGCACTTTTGCACGACGTTTAATTCAGAGCCGGTTCAAGAAGATTCTAGAAAATATTCTTACGAGAAAAATTTGTACGGACATCTCTCGATTTGAAAGCGAATTCTCACACTTCGGACATTTTTAAACAGTGTGATATATTTAAGCGAAATTCTGCGCGAACTTTTAAAAATACATTCAACCAAAGTCTGCTCCCAATTCGCATCGATCGCCTCAACCGACCCCGATTTAATCGTAATGAATTTCGCCCTTTTTTTTTATTCGCGTCTATTCTTTCACAGTCTCTCCTTTTCTTCCTCTCGTTTTCTCTCGCTAGTCCTTTCGTCGCACAATTGTCCTCTCACTCGCGCACATTCTCACTTTCTTAAATTTGCAAAAGGCATAAAAAATTGTAATTACATATAATTAAATATAGTGGGACACACCGTTTGTGTTGTAAGAAGATAGCGCCCCGCAATGATGATTAAAAACAGCGTGTATATATATATAATATGCATAATATAGTATATAATATATACAGAGTGTATACACACGATATTTCGAAAGAACATTTTCAATGTGTGACTTCATTTGACGTGTAAGACGATAAATTTCTTCTCTTAGGATCACAGAATAGTAGCGCCCGAGCATAGCAATATTTCTCATCATAATATGTATTTTCAAGATATTCGGAAACAAACGAACGGACGCGACGAGCAATAATAACGTCGCCGATTTCACGTGGAATCGCGAAGATTTCGATGTCGTTTGTTCGCAAAGATCTCGCCATCTAAATCTAGAGTGTGTATGTAAATAAATGCTTAATATATTATAAAAAAGGAATATATAGCATATTACAAATTATCGACTAGCTTAACAATACTGCTGCGCCAACGGTCATTGGACGAATAGTTGCAATTTTTCTTGATATCGTATATATATATATTTTTTTCTGGAGAAAATTTGCCATATATTAATTATAATTTTTTTTTCCAATAATATATTAATTGTATTTTTTTTCAAGTTAAAATATTAGCGCTGAAGTATATAAATCAAATGGGAATGTCATTGTATGTATAATCGCGATATTCGTCGATATTAAAGATAACAATTACAAGTGTAATATAATCTTTGTAAATTCTTTTTCAACGAGAGATCAACTCTGAGAAATAATCAAGATTAGATCGAGCGTATTCTAAATAAAACGCGGACTAATATACGCATCGTTACACTTATACGCCTAATAGATTTTTTTAGGTATATAAATGGATTATTTTCAATAAGTTATATTTAACGAGTAGTACTTGCCGCTATAGAATGCATTTCGAATAGCAATGTTGTTTCGCAAAGTCGTGTCTTTTTCTACGATATGATCTCCTTGGATAGTGTTCTTGGTCCTTGAATTCGATTCTTTTCTCCTACCTACTTCGCGCGCGCGTGTTCTTTTGTCCGAAGCAAAGTGTGTGTGTGTGTGTGTGTGTGTGTGTGTGTGTGTGTCATTATAGAAATTGTCGCTCTTTAAAGCTTCGTAACGATCGATCAATTAAAAGTTTTGTCGCTTTCTTCGGAAGAAAAGAGGACATCGTGATTTTCCGCATTTAAGCGAAATATACAGGATGTACCTAAATAATTTTATTCAAAAAACAAATATTAATAAATATTAGTGGAAAATATTCACCGAGTTTCATTCTTTCAATTTGTCTGAAACTTGAGAAAAAAAAATAAAAACTTA